AGGATGGTGACCCCACCTAATTATTCTTTAATAGCAAGGGAATCACTAGATATAACATTTGGGGAAAGACGGATATGGAGGTCCTATAGAATGGACACCTTACTCTCCTGACTTGAGAGTTCCAGACTTTTTTCTCTGGAGTTATGTCAAGGAAAGATGCTGTAATCCTTTACTCAAATAGCCTGAAAGATCTTAAGCGGAACATTTGTAATGTCATTGAAGTGATTCCCCAGGAAATCTTACCCAAGTCATCCACCCGAGCATTCACCTATTTACTGATCTATAAATGCCTGGAACAGAATGGCTAACATATACATATACAGCATTTTGTATAGTTTTACGCAGTTTTTATTTACTTTTTATTGGGCAAACATAAGTTCCAAGCTGTGTAAATATGTGTTTGCAAAAATACCAAGATTTTGATTTTTCACGGCTAAACCTTCAAGTTTTAGGGACTATGTCTATTCGTACATGGATACCTTGAACATTATTCTTTTTTTTGACGCTGTGTTCCATTAAAAATAGTGGAGAATTTCAATGTTGAAAAACGGATTTTTTTTAACTTGCCCTGTATAAGTTTCAAAAAAATTTGCAACCTACTATAAAAAACTTTAGACCAAGAGAAATCGAATGGCGCAAACCGCAGGTAGCTAGCACATCTGGTTTAAAAGTTATAACCATTTAAAATGGTTCACTTCGGCTGGAACACCCTGTATTTAAAAATCATGATAGGGCATGTCCATGTGACGTCACAAATGAGTTTGACAGTCGCCCTGAGGTAAAAGAAATCATTTATTACATTCGTTTAGATTAGGCCGGTTATGTTTTATGCGGTTTTCACAGCTTTTTTACAAGTTTTTGTGTTATTTTGTTTAAAAAAAGTTTAAGTAAAATGTTCATGTTCCAGTCTATGTGGTCTTTTATCCAGAAGTTTGCTAAGTTTTTCTATAATGGATTAAATTCAGATTTTTTCCAACAAATATCAAAACCACGTGTCACAAGAACAAATATATAAGTATAGTTACTCTATAGTCAATCTATTTTTCTATCTGATCTTCTCTTTTAACAACATTAATCAATTTTTCTCTTCTTTCTTGAGCTAACAAATCAAACCTCCCATTGTTATTTGAAATTGATGGAAACCTATAGAAAGATATTGTATCTCTTGCGCTATACTGCCACAATTAACAACTAAACAAACTCTAGGCATGTCCAAGCAACTTCTGGATCACACAATAGGTATTTATTTTAAAAAATCTAACTAAAAACTTAAAAAACCACTGTAAATTATATATTTGTTTTACGCGTATACAAGTTATACCATCAAAACACCAATGTAACCGGTGTCCGCTAGAAAAGCAATTTAAGGTACCTGACCCAAATAAGGCAATGTACCTAATAAGGCCAGTGCCCTTTATTGCTTAATATTGAATCCCATTTCCAAAAATTACAATATTAATTAAAAAGAAATCTATAATGCAAATCAAAAATTATTGCGAGGATTCTTAGCAACTCGTCATATGCCGAAAAATGGCCAATCACATATTTCATATGTCACGCTATAACTTTGAGGCTGGGGGGGTTTATTTGAAATGTGCAATTCAAATTCGTCTGACTATCGCATTTTCTAGCATTGAAATACCGGCAAAAATTGCGACGTAATCAGACGTATTTGAATTGCACATTTCAAATAAACCCCCCCTGTGAATGGAGCGATTGTAATTTTTTCACGGACATTTATGTATTGAGAAAGCTACAGAGTAAGTACAGAATAATATCTCTGCTAAATTTCTCGTTACAGACTTTTTTTTATCAATTTAACATGTTCCTAATAAGGCCATTATAAGAAAAATGTTCAATTGGCCTCACATCACAGTTTTTTTTTGAAAGAATGTGTCCTATTATAACCTAAGTGATGTTTTTTGAAATGCCTGGAGTCTCTCCATGCAAGAGATGCTGCGAATCATTTGTCCTAGTTGTATGTAGACCTATTCGTATCACCATTCCAGAGAACTCGGACCTATTGTTTTTTTAGGAATGCAGCAAACGTATAAGTTCTATTTTATGTACTATTTCTCAAATAATAATATTTTTATAAATAATTGTAGTTATTTTTAAAAAAAATCAATGGTGGCCTTATTAGGAGCATAATGATCCAAATAAGGCCAATGGTAAGCGTCTTTGTTTTACGCAAAAACCACCACTTATATAGAACAATAAATAAATTGGAGTTAATAATAATCAAGTAATAGAAACACTTCACATATGGATAATGTTGGGAAAAAATAAAACTTCTTTAACGTGGCCTTATTTGGGACAGGTACCTCATATAAAAATTATGTAAATTGAAGCTTTTTTCACACAATCACATGAGTGAGAAAAGGGGCGCTTTACACACGTACAAAATTTCCTCTACTACTGACAATATTAAACCATTTTGAAAAAACATGTCACCACTCTACGCCCTAGTGTCTAAAACTAACTCACTCCACAACCTAGGATGTAAAGTAAATATCACATCTTTAATGCAAACAAAAGGGCAGCAAAGAGTTTTATAATATCAAAATTTATATACCTACTTGTGGGTATTTCTACATTTTTGTAAAGAAACTAATACAATAACAATTTATTAAACTTTTTCAACGATTTTTACGCACTAGTGTGTAAAGTAAATTACTTACGCACGGTAGTAGAAAAAATAGTTATTTATGCAACAAGTGTGTAAAGCGTACCTTTTTTCACGAATGTGAAGTTTGACGCACGAGCCGAAGGCGAGTGCGACAAGCCGAAGGAGTGCGACAATCACATGAGTGAAAAAAGGAGCTTTACGCACACGTATTGCATACAATTTTTTTTCTACTACCAATCAAATATGTTCAAAAAATAGATTTAGACAATACTTTACGCACTAGTGCGTGAAGTGGAAGTGGAATTTTACATCTTCTGAATAGTGCATAAAGTGAGTACTTCACGCACGGTAGTAGAAAAAATTCAAATTTTGTTTTCCTTTTTGGCTCAAAATCCACGTTCTTGGGCGCGGCACCCGAAAAAATTTGTTACCTGTGGCGGGCATGTGGAGGAGCAGGGGGCAGCAGTTTTTCAATTTTTGCCCGGGGCGGTCAAAAGCCTAGCGACGGCCCTGCGCTTCAGTAATGTTTGGACCGCAGCAGAAGTGATTATTTAATTTCTGTGCAGTTTTTTACGCTCGCATGTAATTGTTAAAATAAAATATACCTGATTATTTCATTCATTATAAAATAGACCCATCAGACAACGTCATTTTTTGAATGAATTTTGTTTAAATAAGTGATTATTTCACAAGACCTTGTTTATCAGCGATTAAATTTCTGTTTACCTTTTTTGACAGAATTTTGATAGAAAAATTCTGACATTTTATAATAAATAGAACTCTTTGGATAGGATTGACGCCAACAATTCAATCCTAATTATTCAGGAAATAATCTAGCCGTATACCACTCGACCTATAAATTTAAATGGAATAAACTATCCAAATATTTTTTGCATAATTTTGCTTTTTGGCAAATAGTCTCATGCACAATAACTTTTAAATAAAAGCCCTCGGGCTTTTATTAAGTTATTGTGCATTCAACTATTTTCCAAGCAAAATCATGCTCAAAATATGTTGGATAGTTTAATCGATTAAATTTGAAGGTCTTGTGATATAATACTTGTGATATAATACAATAAGAACCTCATTATATCAGAATTCATATCTCTGGAGAACAGCATCGCTGTGGAATAAACTCCCTACGACGGTTTTCCCTGCAGGTTACAACCTGAACCGTTTCAAGACCAACATACACCGACATTTCCGCGCACTTGCCGCTTCTCGAGCGTGATAGGACATTTCCTTGCGAGTGCGCATATCCGTAAAAAAAAAAAAAAAAAAAAAAAGGGTGTCCCACGGTGGATGGCGTATTAGACGTTTATGGAAAACTAAAAATAGGATCATTTTGAAAATTTGGCAACCGGGATAAACGTCCATAATCTATACTTCAAAATTATTTTTGTTTATGCGGTATTGCCGCTTCTACTCTAAACAAGTGGCAACATCGCTATTTTAAATAGAACACCCTGTATGTGATTGCATATTTCGATTCTACGTAAATTTCTGAGCAGATTTCATGTGATGTACCCTATACCTAAGTTCAACTGTTTTGGAAATATTGACAGTTGAAAATTGACTTTTTGCAACTTTGACCGGCTGTAAAACCTGAACGGTTAATTTTCGAGGAAAACCGATTTTACATTCCCATCTTAGATTTTTATAAACTATCATTTGACAGAAACTTTAAATTTAATCCATGATTAAAAATTCCAATTAAATTTAATCTTCGGTTAGATTCAAAATTAGTGCCAAATGATAGTTTACGAAAATCTAAGATAGGAATGTGAGATCGGTTTTCCTCTAAAATTAACCGTTCAAGTTTTACAGCCTGTCAAAGTTGCAAAAAGTCAATTTTCAACTGTCAATATTTCCAAAACAGTTGAACTTAGGTATAGGGTATATCACATGAAATCTGCTCAGAATTTTACGTAGAATCCAAATATGCAATCACATACAGGGTGTTCCATTTAAAATAGCGATGTTGCCACTTGTTTAGAGTAGACGCGGCAACACCGCATATACAAAAATATTTTTGAAGTGTAGATTATGGTCGTTTATCCCGGTTGCCAAATTTTCAAAATGATCCGCTTTTTAGTTTTCCATAAACGTCTAATACGACATCCACCGTGGGACACCCTGTATATGAGAATACACCTAACCGCATTTAAATATTTAGCAGCTTCTTTTTATCGATATTTTGTTATTAAAAAATGGATTTTCAAATGAACTATACTTCATGTGTAGTATCTTTCCTTTTTTATAATTAAACGTGGCAACGTCGCACATTTTTGTCTGAATTATTTTTGTAGTTCCAGGTTCACTGGTCAGACAACAAAGATAACATCCTGGAAATAAAATTAAAAAAAGCAAATTCTTATTTAGACTCAAATATATTAATTTTTTTCAATAAAATAATAAAATTTCGATACAAAATTTCATATACACTACTACATGTTTGGAACACTAAAGCTAATTTGGTTTTCAATTATGAGAAAAAGGCCTCGTATTCTGCACAAAGCATTGCCTTGTGTATAAGCAAAGTATTCAAAAATAAATGCTTTCTGGCTGTGATCAGTCCTTACATAAATACGTTATTCAAGCATCAAAAACATACAATGATTTTTTATTTGAAAAATGTTTTTGTGTAAATCTAGCTGAGCAGATAAGTACCGATTATGCTTGCAAAGAACTCACTATGTATTTTATAAATAATAAATAATAGGCAGGGAAACTAGACAATAATTATTATTTATAAAATAAAAAATTGGAATTAAAATCAATATTTTGATTTCGATTTGTTTTTTTCCAGAATTTATCTAATCTCTTGCTTTTTGGGATATACATATTATAGTAACCCGTTTAGAACAGATTGAAAAAAAAATAGCTTAATTAATAGAAGTACATACACACTAATATAAAAAGAATATTTACAACTTAGGCTTAAGAAAACTAATAACTTAAAACATCAATTATTTCGATATTTTTGTATCCTTTCTGATGACAGTACTACATGAGAATCTCTAAAGTTTTCGAGCAATTTCAACAGACTTTATGTTCAATCCTAAACTCTAAAATTTTCACTCATTTAATACTAGAATGAAATATACAAAGGACATTTTGATAATAAGAGGAAGCACAAAGAAAATATGAAAATGTTAAACAGACCCCATATTCACGACTCTGATATGACATATATATTGGTCACAATATTGAGTGCCTGAACGTTAATGATCTTTAGAGGGTAGCATATCTCATTTGATTACAGTGTAGCCTCTTTCATCCAAACATACTTAAATCCGAATTTAAAATTTTCATAATTTTTATTTCTTAAAACATTTTTTTAATTTCCCGTTCAGTGTGCACTTTTATAGTAAGAACGTAACTGTCAAAAAGAAAAAGTATGAACTTGATCACATCCACGCAATTTTCAAAAATGATCTACCTTTGAAAATTTAGTTTACAGGCTGCTTTCACAACAGGTTTTCAAGACAAGTTCTGTCCTTTGTACTTTTGAGCTAACTAGAAATACAAAAAAAAATACCTACCTAATTACTTCAAACAAATTAAAATTGTTGGCTTTATCACAAAATTAACCTAAAAATCTACATTTGGTGACTAGAGCTGTTCCTCTGCCTTCTTCATGCATACTACTTTAAAACAAAATCCACTTAAGGCCAGTCTTCTTGATATCTTTAGATAAGTTATCAAACATGATAATTCGAGTTTAGATGTTGTATTCTGGATTCTTAGAATTGCAACTCAAAGTATTTAGCAAGCAATGTATAATTTAGCTGGTTATGTTCTACAAATCTTCCAAAATACAACCCATGAAGATTGCAAAAATTATAGCTGGAAACATTTTAGAGTGTAATTTAACTATTGTCTTTATTCAAACAATAAATAAACAGGCCCTGAAGAAAAAAGGAATCCTTCAACTTTGTCAAAGTTCTCTGGTAACTCTGAATATTTATAAAATAATGATAATATTTTTGCTACACTGAGGTGACTATAGATTGTTAACCTAATTTGTTTTTACCTGAATGCTACCTATTCTACTTTCAACCTTTTACTGAATTCTTCTTGTTGTCGCTCTTTCCATTCTTTTTTGGGCTTTGATCGCTTAAGCTGACCATCCCTAATGAAATAAAGGATAAAAATTACATTTTAAATAATATTTAAAGGTAAACACAAGATTAAAGAAAGAGGTCACGATTTCGGAAAATTTGTTACTGGGAAATCAACCAGAATGGATCAAGATGAAGTGTTAAATATTAGCGAATCAGGAACCTCCCATTGAATTTCTGCATGTACTTACCAAACAAGATCAACTAGTCCACCTTGCTTTGCAATAGCACTTTTTACTCTATTGGCGAAATCAATGGAACTTTCGCCTTCTTCTTGATGCATTGGAGGCAAATACCATACGTCGCACACTATCGCCCAACTGGTCATCATCATGTACAAATATTGCAGCATTGTGTATTTGTTAGAGTTCCAGAAGGCATCACCAAACCTAGATCATAAATTTATTTATTAGACTAGACTTTTTGAATGAATTAGAAAACGAGTGAGGTTTATTGAGTTGTCCAACATTCAGTAACTTCTCTATCAAGTGATAGAAATCTAATATTTTGGTTCTGTAATTGTCATAAGATGCTCTTGAGGTGTGGTATCTGGATTCATACCCACCAGAGTGCCCCTTAATTCTTTAGTTTGATATTATTTATCCGGAACCAACATTTTCTTTCCCAAACAAGGTTCTAATCAAGGTTGGCAAAAACCCGGGTTTTTGAAAATTTCTAAATTGAATTTATCGAACATTGAAAATTTTCCAAAACTGACACCGAGACAGTTTTTGCCTCACAGCTCTGTTAATTTCCATCTGATTTGAATATAATTAAGCTTTAATTAAAACCAATTAAATTCTCTTGAAACCTGTTAATTGGGATTTTGATTTAGTTACAATTTTGCAGTTGAGAAGCTTCAAAATTGAAATTATCGAACATTGAAAATTTTCCAAAAATGTCAATGAGACAGTTTTTGCCTCACAGCGCTGTTAATTTTCAACTGATTTAAATATAATTAAAATTTAATTAGAGCCAATTACATTCTCTACATACCAGTTAGTTAGGATTTGGTTTCAAAAGTTTTACACCTGAGAAGTTTTGAAATTGAAAATATCTAACTTTGAAAATTTTGCAAAAATGACATTGAGACAGGTTTTGCCTCACAGCTTCGTTAATTTTTGTCCGATTTCAATGTAATTATTATCATTATTATTATTTTTTATATCCACCTTTAGAGGGAAAATGTTTCGAGCCGTAACCGGACAGAAGTCAAGGTTACATATCGTGCAGCACATAACGCCGCATTACATGACATGTTCCAAGCGCCACCGGTCTTTGCATTAGTCCGGCCAGTTCTCCCTGCCCAGGTAGAGTTTTTCTAGATTTTTAACAAGTCCTCTTCCTACTAAACCTGTGGCAGAAGTTATGAACGGCAAGACTTCGATTTTCTTAAGCTGGTAAATTCTTTTTAATTCGTATCTTGGTACTTGGTGACTTTTCTTGTGTAGAAATTTGCTATGTTGCTGTTTGCTGGTACTGCAAAGTCAATGATAAATGCATATTTCCCTGTTTTGTTAATATGAAGAATGTCTGGCTTATTGTGAAGAATTTGCTCATCAGTTACGATCAGCGTGTCCTAGTAGATTTTGTTGTTTCATTTTCGATGACAGAGTTGTTTCTTTAGTTCAGTGTCGTCTTTTGCAATAAGCTTTAGATCGTCGACGTACAGTGGGTGACTAATTTTTTGCTGTTTTGTTGTTTAGGATGCTCAAAGGAAACAATGCCATGCAGAAGAGCAGCGGTGAGAGCGAATCTCCCTGGTAAATTCCATTTTGTTCTGTACATCTCTGATTACTGTGCCTATATTATTTGCAGTTAGAGTGAGATCTGTATTCCAATTGGTCATGGATTTAGTGATAAGGTGGAGGAGTACGGGATGTGCTCAATACATGTTCAGAGTTTCTATTATCCAATTGTATGGGACGCTATCATACGCCTTCTTATAATCAATCCAGGCCAGAGACAGGTTCTTTCGACTTTCCTTGCAGTCCTTGTGTATTGCTCTACTCGTTAGGAGGTGATCCTTGCAGCCATATGAATTTTTAGTACAACCCATCTGCTCGAGCGGGAAAATACTGTTTGTGATTAGGTGTATGTATACCCTCTCTGATATTATTTCTGTGAGAGCTTTGTATATGTTGTTCAAACAGATGATGGGTCGGTAGTTTTTGGCTTTCGTAGTTTCATTGTTTTTCGGAATAAGATAAGTTCTTCCTTTTGTTAACCATTTTGGGATGTCGTGATTTTCGTCGAATTACTATTATTATTATTATTGTGAGCAATATAAAGCGGTCTAAACCGATAAGCCTATTGCAATTAGGTAATGTTTTTTTTTTTTTTTTTGTACAGAGTATTTGATTATATTCAAGCCTACACCCACAGCCTCCAATATCTGAGATAGAAAAAAATTCCAAATACAAAACTCGACAGTTCCCCTCCACATTCTCGACCAACGTCATCAAAAGAAACAAAATCGCATCGGAAAACGGTAACACGTAGACAACGTCAACCCTTTCCAACGGGACACCCTGCATACTATGCGATAAAAGGAAAGATCCCCCCTCCCGACTCGAAACACACGTGCGTGAGCCACCCCTGACACATCTTGGCCCAAATCGCAGATAGAATGCAAATAAATAAACCTTACAAAGATTTAAATCTCTTGACATCCTTATGAAATTTCTTTGCAAACCACCCAAAATTCAAGCCAAGATACGTCAAAAACGGCTGACACAAATGCGATCAACATACACAAATTTGGAATCAGGAAGAAAAGATCCCTCATTCCATCGCACGATATACAGGGTTTTCCACCAAAAAAAGTTGAAGCAGTCCACGATGCGACTTTCCTTCCTCTGACAACGCTAAAACTGTCAAGCTCCGCATTCAAATCACTTTTCCATCTCAAACAGCAAAGGCTGCAGGTATAGGCCCAAATATAATCAAACACCCTGTACGTGTGAGTTCAGTTGGATTATCTTTATACACTGTGGCGATATTCAGGCATTAGGGATTAAGGTTACACATAGTGGGTAAGTTGATTTCTCAAGTTGTCCATTTCTTTATCCAGCGCGTTCTTGAAGGCGTTGACAGTTGGTGCATTACAGTAGATTCCTGAAGGCTGTTTCATCTGTAGACAACTCTATTGTTCAAAAAGTTCTTCCTCAAAAGCAGAGCAGGGACAGGGACTATATAACGAATAGAGATATTATCTCTATCTGTATTGACGTCCCTTCTCTATTGATTTCAAAAAGAGAGAAGAAGACAGCAAGTGCCATAGAGATAGAAATAACTATCTCTATCCGTTACATAGTACTCGTGCGGCAGATGCTTCTTGTTGAGTTTCTTTCAGTGGAAGCGTAGTAGGAAATTTGGAAAAGTACCAGATCCATTTTTGGGCTGAAATAACCCGTTAGTACTTTGAAGGTTTCAATGAGATCACCTCTTCCTCGCCTTTCTCTTAATGTACTTAGTCCGAATATTTCAAGGCGTTCACAGTATAGTAGATGGCTCACTTCTGGAAGTATCTTGATGATTGTCCTTTGGACTCGTTCGATAATATCTGTCTGTTATATAGTAAGGGCTCCACACAGCATGGGCATATTCCAGCTTAGGACGCACAAAGGTTTTTTATCATTTCCACAAAGTGGTCACTAAAAGCTCTCTTCATCAAGTACACTAGGGTGTCAGCTTTTTAGTCATGCATTCAATGTGAGGCTCCTATTTTAAGTCAGAGCTAACAATAACTCCCAGGTCCCTTTGTTGGTTGACTTCTGCGACTACGCATGTTCGAATCATATGCTCAATTTTTGGGTTATTTCTACCGATGTGCAAAACAGTGCACTTGCTCTCGTTGAGGCTTAGCATCCATTCGTTAGTCCAATGGAACAGGCTTCGGGATCTTCTTTCAGTTTCTGAGTGCCATGGGTTGGATTGCAGTAAAGCTTTGTATCGTCAGCAAAGTATGTGATACCAGACTGAAGGCCACTTCCTTTGTCACTAATGTAAATAATGAAGAGCAAAGGGCCCAAGACAAAGCTCTGGGGCACCCCACTCATTGCTTTGTGCTGCTCAGATAACACCCCATTTGCTCTTACTGTGAACGTTCTGCCTTGCAAGTAATTGGAGATCCATCGTAGTAAGCTACCGCTTACACCGAGGTAGTCAAGCTTGTATAAAAGTCTTTGGATTGAAACCCTATCGAAGGCCTTCTCAAAGTCAAGAGAAACAACATCAACAGCCCCTCCACTATCCACTTCTTTTGTTCACTTGTTTGAACCCGAAAGCAGGTTTGTGGAGGTGGATCGTCCTGGTAGAAATCCATGTTGGATTGCAAGCATAACATCATTTTCCAGAACAAAATTCTTGATTTTATCGGCAACAACCCTCTCCATTGACTTACATAAAGTGCATGTTAAACTTATGGGACGATAATTTCCAGGGTTGTGTTTGTCTTTTTTTCTTGTAGATGGGCGTTATAATTGCTTTGGTCTACTTGTTTGGCACTCTTCCATTCTCCATTACATTGTTCATCGCCGATAAGAGTGGTTCACTTATATTAGCTGCTGTTTTATTCAATAATATGGCTGCAATGTTGTCAGGACCGGGGCTGGAGTCTATTGGTTTTTCAAAACTTTGCAAATCTCTTCTGGCGTAAATTCGGCTGATGTTATTTGGGCAACTAAACGTTCACTTCTTAGTCTTTAGAAAATTTTGCACTGTTTCTCTGGTGAAGACTTTCTCAAATTGATTCGCCAAGGTTTCTGAAGTCTGCTTTAAATCTCCAATAATATCTCCAGTATCCTGGACTTTTAGAACAATAAATATAGAGTTTGAATTGAGCATTCTTTTTATGTAGGAATAGAATTGTTTATCAGATCTTGTAGGCAAACTGTGTTCATATTGTCAACTAGCTGCTTAGGAAAGGAGGACCCGGTATTCAACCTTATTAATTTAATTGCCGATTCGATCGAATGTTTATTGCAATTCAGCAATAAATTAATATAAATTGCGCTGCAAGCCGCAGCAAAGGCAGACTTAAACCAGTGCAAGTACCTCTCGTTGGAAAAGCCCCTCTGGAATTAAGTCTCCCCAGTGCAAGTACCTCTCGTTGGGAACGCCCCTCTGGGTATCTTCAGCCTTATCGTTGTCCAGTGCAATTACCTCTCGTTGGGAACGCCCCTCTGGAGGCATAAGGGTGACGATAAACTAATCTACAGTCCTCCAAGCAGCATTGACGTGTGGCTCCCTATAAGGACCCCAGTGTTCGAAGGGTCACATATCTTATAGGATTAGCATACATGTAAGGTTATATTTGGGAAAATATATAGTATATATTTTTATATAACCTGAGCGAGTTTCTCTCCATCAACCCCCAAAGCTACAAACCCCCCATGTCACCCTTGTAAAGCGGGCAGCTAGCTGCTTAGGAAAGACTCGTTGGTTTGCTTGTTGCAGCATATTTCTCAGTAGGTTATTTTGAGTTCTATATTCCTATTCCTGCTAAGACTGGGGAGTTTTGAGATTTTGGTACTTGTTCCAGAGGTTCCTCTTCTTTTGAATTTCTTTGAAGTAGTGAGTGTTTATCCACAACAGTAAGCTCTAATTAAAATCAATGAAATTCTCTACCAACCTATTAATCAAGATTTTAATTTCAATTTATGTAGGTTTTTGTCAATATAGATGGTGGCGTTTTGTGTCAAAAAGCCACTGAGTTTTTGGAATGGATTTTTGTGTATGCCAACCCTGGTTCTAATTCTTTTAGACTTCCATATTCGGGAAAGATGGACAACGCACAGGCATATTTGTAGTTCTTTATATTGTAATTTATAGGGAAAAAAGAATTACCTTGGATCATATTTGATGGCTACAGGATATATTACACTTCCTACTTCAAAGCTGCCCTTCTTAAATTGCATCACCGATGTGTTATTAATACAGGTACCTTCCGGGAATATAAGAATTGGAGGATTATTCTGATCTGATGTATGGTCTATTAACCTAATTAAAAATTAATTGATTATTTAAAAAAAAAACTAATAGAGAGAAAGGAATTACCTTTGCGATACAAATTTCTTATCTCTAGCTTCAGATCTTTCAAACCAGATATGTGGTGAAGCTCTGGCCAGTGCTCTTTGTAAGATACCTAAAAAGCCTCCGTGTCTCTGACCAATCTAAATATGAAATAAAATATTAATTACAATAGTATTGCTATTTACTATTTACTTAGCAAACGGTTTCATTTCTAAAGCAAATACCTATAAGCAAACAGATTATATGCTCTAAGCCACTACTAATTATTAAGACCAACAACAAATTGAGTTAAGTTTTGCATTACGTTTTTATTTATTATAACAGTGCATGAGGAAAAAAATATGTAGTGTTATAAAAAAGAACCACATTTTATCACCCCATTGAAATATTAGAAGTAAAAGCCATACTTTTGTGATGACGAGTCTGTGAGAAGCCAAGAAGCTTTTTACTTCAAATACAACAGATCAATTTCTTGTGTTTGTTATAAAAAAATAGTTACAGAAATTTGAATTTTTCTTTTGTGTAACACTTTCATAGACAATAGTGGATGCAACAGTATTTGCCATGAATATAATATTTTTATTTGTATCAATAACCAGTAAATTTAAATTATTATTCACCTACCAAAGAATAACAATTATCACACATCAAAATGAGAGCATCAATAGGCGATGTATGATTAGCTACGCAGATTCCTCCCTCTTTTGGTCTATTTTGCTCGTTGTGATAAGTTATAACGGAAGAAATGGCACGCGACAAGATCCCAAAGCACATAATCGACACATATTTGTTGACCAATCTTCGGAAATCCTTTTGGGGTATGTAGCCAACCAGAGCTGTACAGATTGTGAGCCACAGTACCTGTAAAGGTGGTGCGACCATATTTACAATGTGCGTAGCAATGTTAATTTATTGATATAACCAAAATAAAAGCAATGGAATTTTGAAACTATATATTATGACATTTATGATGAGGGCGAGCCAAATATTTTTAATAAAACAGGTGCTTATTCTATCTGTGTATCAACTAGTACAACTTGAAGACTTTAGCTGTAATGAAGTCAGTATTTGATATTTCAGGTATGATTTTGTTTAAAAACTACATAATTTTAAATTTGTAACTTATGTGTTTCGCATCATTAACCAGCGAGCGACAAAAATGACCGTTAATGTTAGAATCACTTTAACGTAAATGGACTTCGAAATGTGCGTGATATCCATGCCATTTTTGCAAAAACATAGAAATCACATTTTGACATGGCAAATACAAAAAATTAATTCGTCTGTATTTATATAGCCTAATCTCTATAAAAATAAACAGAACGTTTAAAGTAGCTTTTATTGTTTAAATACATTGACAAAGCATTCCCAGCAGTGCACTTGGTGTTACCCAAAGCTAACACCCTCATTTCGTAAGTCTTACCACTGCATAGAAATTATCGACTAACAAAATACAAGTATCAAATGTGGTAGTGTGGTTGGCCACGCAAATGCCACTGGATTTTGGTCGCCACTTTCTGTTATGGAACCGAATTACAGCAGTAGCTGACTGAGCTAGAATTCGACATCCTGCCTTGTTAGCTTTGACATAGAGATACTTTTGGAGACGTTTGTTTGGGATTAATGACACTAAGTTCAGGACGATGATCATCCAGAGACTCTAATGAGATTGAAATAGAAAGGCAGCCATGAAATTAATCTGTTAAAGATTCATTTGGAATTTACCAAAATAGTACAAATGGAATAAATTTTAAACTCTCGGCTACTTACCCCACAAAAGCAAATAATAACCCTCAAAGGCAACAAAAAGGTATAGCGAACACAAAATCCGCACATCCAAATAAATGTTAGTTTCCACGATATGAATTCATAGCCCCTATTAGTTCTTATGAGCAAGTTCCAATTCTTTAATTCTTCAGCTTCGAATCTAGAGGTGACTTGGTCTTCTATGATAGCCTCGAAGCCTGCTTTTGTGTAGTCAAGTATCGTGCTTAGTTCAAAGTTTAATAGGATTTTTTCCTAAGAAAATATATTTTTAATTATTTATGTAATTATTTGATTATAAATACTTGCCTTTACTTCACCTGTTCCTTCTTTAAGCACCTGACTTAAGTTGCTATCTTCAACACTGTTCTCACCATTTGCTGCATCAGCTTTGACTGGAACATTTACTGGCTCAGGTAATAAAATATGTCTTTCCTCCCGACTGTAAAAAAAAATATGTTAGTCTACTGTATTAATAATTTTCAAAAATCCAAACCTAATCAGATTATTTCCTCCATTGACTAAATACCCATTAGTTAATCCGTTTGGCTTATGTCCTTTATCATTTTTTGGAGTTTCATGAGTGTAAGATTTTTCTGAAGGTGCTAACTCTTCACTATAGCCTTCATCCTCAGAGTCCTGTTCTATTTTTTGGTTTCTTTTTTCAATTAGAGCCGATTCTATATCTTTTCTGCCATACTAAAAAAAAAAAAAAAACAATAAATTACTATTAAAAATAAAAAAATTAATTATACAAGACACTTCCATAACTATTATTATAAATGAGCAAAAAATATATGACTCATATTCATGTGAATATTAATTTAAATAGGTAAGATACTGGTTTCTCTTCTCCGTGAGTTTAATCACTTGTTAATGATATTCTTATTAGTTTGCCCGAGGAGTTGCAAAAATTATTTAGGATGATGCAATCGTGCATGTCCATGTCTACTAGATTTTTGCACCACTTTGTTTTTGTATCTAAATGCGTCTCCATCATTATGAGAATTTCCATATGCAAAATTGCAGGTTAACAAAACAAGGAACAAAGAGAAAGTGCAAATATTTTCGACAAAAAAAAATCATTCCCCATTTATTTAATCATATTATTCATGCATTTATTTCAAGTTTAATAATAGAACACTTCAGTGCTAATAACCTATATTTAGAGACGAAAGTGAAAATAAGGTAAATATTGTTTATAAAAATCGCTAGGAAATTGAAGGAAAAATAATTATTGCCTAGGCTAACAAAAGGAAATAGAAAGCTAATTGTTGAAGGCAAATGTTATCAATTTCGACTTTGTAATGTGATTCAACAAGGTTACGAACAATGCGGACCACTTATTTGCATATACAAAAATAGATATGTATGGGTATGAACTAATTATAAATATTTTCCAATGAATGATGATGCTGTGATAAGTGTTTTAGAGTACCTAGTTGAGAATTGTATGTTAAAGTTATGATTTCAAGTATTTAATTAAATAAATACTTAAGTAGGTTCTTTCCAATTTCAGAAATCATATTCGTACCATGTGCTTAGACTCGATAGTATTTACCGTCAATATTTAAGTACCATCAACCATTAAATTTATGAACAAAATACAATAAAAGTATTTCAATTCAATAACGTAAATACAACAAAAAATATAGGTACCCATTATAAATCCAATTAATGAAAATACAATAATAACAATCCTAATGAAAATAAGCAATGGTTAAAACACATAGTAATAACTAAATCAATATGTCACTAAATATCAAAATCCTTGAGGAATATCAGGACAAAACTCAGAAACTTCATGGTTTTGTTTGAAATAAAGTCGATTATAGGTCTGTTTCTGCAGAAATCACAAACCAGTCAGAGCGAATTTCATTGGTTGAAAACAGTCACAAACAGTCAGAAAACTAGTTTCAACCAATGAAATTCACTCTGACTGGTTTGTGATTCCGGCAGAAACAGACCTATTGTAAGACGCAACGACTTGCTCCGCCATTGGGGTCAGCTGTTTACGCTGCTTCCTTATCAGAGAACTGTCATGAGTCAGTCAGTCGCACAGAATACGTCAGTCGGCTGACGTGGAAGGCAACGAGAGGAGGACGGTGCTCGGCGTGCATGTAGTTTTCTTTGTTGTTTTTTTGAGTTAATTAATGTCGTTATGGTTATTGAACAGTGAGGGCTTTAATAAAATGAGATTTAACAGTGCAGCGGTGGGATGACACGCTCTATGGCTCTATCCCAAGAGATTGGTGGTGATTCATTCAGTTTTATAAACGTTTAAATAAGTGATCTGATTTAAAAGTGAAACCAGCCAGTGTTAACACACAATAATTGAGGAAAACTAGGCTTTACACGACACGACGAAACGTGGACTGAGTATTATTTTGGAGAAACAGAGTTATTACGTTGTTGCCAAGTTAGCGGAAAAAACGCAGTAGATATGATTATTGATGGCATTAATGATCGCGTCATTCAAAACAGGGCTAAAGCGAGCAGATATAGTGAGCCTGAAGATTCTAAATCTATCGCACTAATCTGCCAAAATAATAATTTTAAAAATATTCCATATTAAAATTATAAACTAAATACTTGATCCTTTCGTACTAAAATATTTTATTTAAATAAAGATAGAAACCAACCTGGCTTACACCGGTTTGAACTCAGATCATGTAAAATTTTAAAGGTCGAACAGACTGTATCGAGATTATTTGTCAACCTTGGGTACAGTGGAACGTCCAGGTGCTCAAGATGAACAAAAGTTTGGCACACATAAACATGCTGGTCAAAATTATAAATTCTCAAAGGATAGATACGGTGGTACAAAGGCTCAAACATTTTTGAACATGAACATGAACATTCTTATGACCCCATATCAAAATATTGCATAAAACCACGTCTTGAGTGCAAAAAATGTGAACGTTTAGGTCATGCCGAGGCGGACTGTCTTAAAAATCGAAATTACTCAAAACCTGGAACGTCCAAAGACGTTATGGCTTTAGACGAATCCCGGACAAAGAACACTAATTATATCGTGGTATGCAAAGTAAATGGTAACACATGTACTGGATTAGTCGATACAGGATGTGCGGTAGTTACGCTACGGCAAAGTGATGCTCAGCGTTTTGGTATTAATTGGCAACCCTGTAATATACAAGCGAGATGTTGAAATACTTTGTGCCAGATAAACTACAAAATGTGTCAGTGATTATCGGGCAGCCTTTATTTAACCAAGCAAACTTTGCACCAGTTCTAAAGGATGACAAAATAAGTCAAAATGACGGTTTTGGAAGACATAGCAATACCGCCGAATCACATCATGTGAAGATCGCTTCAAACAAATCAAACGACTACAATGGAGAAGTTTTTGTCGAATTTGGAACCAGACTCAAGCCATCTTATGAATATTGTATCCCAAGGTGTATAACTTCTTCCCAAAATGGCGTTTTACCAGTGATGAACTTGTCCTGCAACGTGCTGGATTTCAAAGCAGAAGAATTAATTGCCAGGGAAACGCCGTGCTTACAAGAGAATAACTTTGTGAATGAGGTTGTGAAATGTCAATAAACTTGTTAGACAGTAAACCAGTAACTTATCGCGCTTATCGCTTGTCTTTTACCAAACGGGAAAAAGTGCGTGGTATCGTCCAAGAACTTTTAGACAACGATATCATTCAGGAATCAAATTCGCCATATACGAGCCCTATATTAGTCAAAAAGAAAACAGGTGAGATGCGTATGTGCGTGGACTACCGAGCGTTGAATGCAAAAACGGTTAAGGACGTATTTCCGCTACCAAGAACAGACGATCATCTTGAACGTTTAAGAGGAAGCGAGCACTTTACGTCACTTGATATATACTGATGGCAGCAGAGTGTAGAGCGAAAACAGCATTCACTACGTCGGATGGAAATTATGAGTACACACGAATGCCATTTGGATTAGCAAATGCTCCAGCTGTATTTCAGCAGTATTAACCTAGTTCTTGGATCATTAAGATTTAATTCAGCACTGGCATACATGGATGACATCTTGATTCCGGCAGTTGACTTTGACGACGGATACAGAGCTTTATCAGAAATCCTAAAAGTATTTAGTAACGCTGGACGTTACCCTACCCTACGTATGACTAAATGTAATTTTTTTCGACAAACCATTGATTATTTGGGACATGAGATATCGGCAGAGGGTGTAAGACCAGGAAAATCAAAAATAACTGCAGTAGAGAAGTTTCCAGTTCTCAAAAATGTCCTTAAGGTGAGGCAGTTTTTAGAACTTGCCAGTTATTTTCGGAAATTCGTCAAGAATTTCGCTCATGTCGCAAGACCATTACCCACACTTACTAAAAAGAGCGATTCCTTTTTGGGAATAAAAATCAAGAAGATTCTCTGCGACAGCTTAAACAGATACTGTGTACTCGACCAATTTTAGCTATTTATGAGCCTAATTTAGAGACTGAGTTACACACAGATGCATCGAAATGGGGATTAGAGGAGGCATATTGTTACAGAAACAACCAGATGTCAAATTTAAACCTGTGTTGTACTATAATAGTCGTCAAACAAGCAAGGAAGAGCAGCGGTACCACTTCTACGAGTTAGAGACATTAGCCGGCATTAATTGCATGCAGCGATTTCGTGTTTACCTTGTAGGAATCCTGTTTAAAGTAGTCATTGATTGTAGTTCAGTACGAAGCACTTTTAGTAAGAAAAATCTGATACCATGATGACTCAGCTGGCCATTTTGCATTAGAGAAAACTTTTTTTGCAATTTCTCAAAATTACTGGTTTCCCAGGATGCGCAAGTATGTTTCACGATATAATATACAGAGTTGTTTAATGTGGGCTTATTAGAAGGAACCATTTGGATGTTCTGCATCCAATAGAGAAAATTACTATCCTATGGACACTTTACATCTGGAATCATTTAGGTCCGTTTGTGAAAAGTTGCAAAACAAATTCATACCTGATTGCAGCAGTAGATTCTTTTACTAAGTACTTGTTCACCAAAGCGGTCCCAAATACCAAACTCGGACCTTTGATAAAATTCATGGAAGAGATAACTCGGAATGCCAAGACGAATAATTTGTGATCAAGGAACTTGCTATTCTAGTAAAACTTTTAAGGAATACACTACTAAGTTAAATATCAAATTAGTTGAAAATGCTACAGCAACACCTCGTGCAAATGGGCAAGTCGATAGATATAATAGAACTTTGCTAACAGGAATAAGATCAGTGACAGATGATGAACGGAAATGGGACGAGACTTTGACAAGAATAAAGTTTGGAATAAACTCTACTTTTTCGTATTCATAAGTTTGAAAGTAGAATCATTTTTAACGAATGAAATAGCAAATGACGATAGAGTTAATGAATTAGAGAAACGGAGAGTTCAAGCGAAAGGTGCTATTGATCAAGATCAAGCAAAACAAAAAGAAAGATATGATGCAAAGAGATTGAAGAAGTGCAAATGTGAAATTGGACAAGTTATGATCAGACAAAATGTAGCATCAAATGAAGGGCAAAGTAGAAAGCTATTAGCAAAGTATGATGGACCTTACATTGTGACAGCTGATTTAGGCAGAGATCGATATGTGATAGAAGATTTGCCCAGTTCAAAGAGATGTCAAAAGAAATACAGAGGAATATGTGCTGTAGATCATGTGAAGTCATTTAATATCAGATCGGACACTGATACA